AGATATAAAGTCACGATTAGGAGAAATAAAGGCCCAGAAATGAGCTTCTGTGTGTTTCTAACCTTTAAAAAAGATTTATGTTGGTGCAACTTTGGAACATCCTTAAACTCTCATAATCTCCATCTTTATTTCCTTTTCCTTTCTCAAAACACTGATGTGTCAGTGAAGTTATGCCATTCACTTACCCTTATTTATTGGTCATTTTTTAAGTTCTATGGTGCTGTAGTATAAATCTGGAGGTCTTCTTCTCTTTGCTCATAAACTTGATTCACTTCTGTCATTGCTTTCCCAGCAGGCTTGTTATACTCACTGAGGAAAACTGAAGGTGAATAAGGTTGAAAATAACAGTAACCTTTGGTTTATCACATTTATTCTCCAGGTTCAAGTTATAAAAGGTTTTGATAGTGCCATAAATTACTTTATTGATGGGCTGAGAAATGGATGCCACTTTGTGAATTTATGACAATGCATGCTTGTTGGTTTAATAGCTCTCTGTAACTCTATTGTCTTTCTTTGTCTCAGTGGCAGTAGTGGGGGCAGCGGCGGGCGAGAGAACAGCAGTAATAGTATGGGAATCCCTCTGGCTGTGCCAACACCCTCACCTCCCAGTATGGCACCAGGTGACAGCTAACATTTTTCACAGTGGCCATTAGCGCTGGGCGATGAACAACATCATATCAAGATGATCAAATTTATGTCGATAACATTGATAATCAATATGGAAAAAAATATTGTGATAATATTTTTGGGCATATCGCCCAGCCCAAGTGGCCATGCTAGTTTTGAAAGGGGTTATTTTGGTCATTCCTCCCACCCCTGATTGAGTCATCTATTTTTTTGTACTTATCTTCTGTGACTGTCCTTTTCCTCTGTCCTGTCTGCAGTAGTTCCTCAAGGTCCAGGTTTGGGCCCAATCCCGATGTCTCAGTTTGGAACAATCTCCCGGCAGATCTCCAGACACAATTCCTCCACCACTTCTTCCTCTGCCTCTATGGTGTCAGCCACCGGCACCTACCGGCGCGCCCCTGCCGGCTCCTCCCAGTTCTCTGTGCCTCAACCCCACCTGAACGGGGGTCCCACATACCCCCAGAACACAAGTGAGTTCAGTTCCAAGTTAGGGAGAGATATTTAGTGACCCTAAAAAGTACTTTGACAACTAAAGGGATAGTTCATCCAATCATGATGTTCATCCAATGAAATTTTACTGTTCATTTACTCACCCTCAGGCCATTCAAGATGTAGGTGTTTTTTTCTTTAGTAGAACAATAAAGCAGATTTTTAGCTGAAACCGTGGTTCTTGGTAATTCATAAAATGCAATTCAGCAGCTACTGTCTTACTGAGAGTCAAAAAAAAGCATATCAGGCCACAAAAAATTAATCCCCGTGACTCCCGACAATATATTAAGGTCTTATGAAGCGAAACAATCAGTTTGTGCAAGAAACTGAACATTATTTATAACATTATTATCTGTAGCCTCAGGCAAACGATCCAGAGTGATGTCTGGTTCGGGCGAAATGAATGTTTTTTTTTTT